TGTGCCTCACAAATAGTAATTATTGCCATTTTTATTTTACGTTAATTAAAAATGACTTGTTAATTCTATTCTGAAAGTACTGCCTTATATCCATTGCCTGAACGCTTGCTGAGATAAATAACAATACGTATTTCATGCAAAATAAAATATGTCCTACACCTTACTTCTGGAATACATACATTTCATGCAATGATAAAATAACATTTGCTTACTGCAAATACATAGAAAAATGAACATTCAGGAGTATATTATAGGGTGAATTTATAATGCTTCCACACCATATGGGGGGGGGGGGGGGGGTAATGTGGATGCCCGGGCGCTAACATAGCGCTCGGTTTTGTGACAAGTGATAACTTTTAACCAAAGAATCACGTTGCACAAGGCAGGTACATGTAATCGAGCCCTTTCAATTGCCATGAAACTCACAATTCACTCGTTACCTCTGCAATATTAACAAAATTGACTTTCAGGCCGTCTTTAAAAAACTGTCTGCTTGTCCTCTCCCGACCGACTGGCTGAAAATGGCCCGACACAAAACTTTCTTTTAATCTCAAGGAAGCAATTATTTTTTTGACGCATTCTGGAAAATAGATTTTGAAAATTCAGCATTGAAATAAAAATTTTCTGGGAGAAAAATTTCTCACCTACTTACCGACCCAATTTTTTCATCCGGAGTCGGGAGAGGGCAAACAAACATTATTTTTAAGTTGGCCTCAAAGATAGAGGTAGATGAGTTACCTGTATCAACGTATAACCTGAACAGATGGGAAAATGGGGGTCAATTACCTGTGCATGAAACAAAGTCACCCTCCTTTGAGGAAAACAGGGTATTTTATACTATAAATGCCTTTTTATTGACAATTTCGAGAATTCACAAAAATAAAGCCATCTTTCAGCTTTTTGGTAATTGAATACATTATGAAGTTTTTCTCTCTCATTATTTTCTTTCAATCAAACACATTTAAATTTACAATGTAATGACATTCTTTTCTCCGAAGAGTTAAATTAAAGAGATAGATAATAAATATATGAATATGTTGAATCAACTGTTCTTTAAAACGAAATCAAAGTTTCCGTGAAATAAGTGTTTGTAGTCCGAAAGTAAAATTAAATGAACGTTTGTGTTAAATATACAGAGTTACAGAAACTATCTAATTTAAATTCAGTTGATGATCTGGATTATTAAACATTAAGATAGAAAACAATTTCATTTGAAAGAACATGGTATATTTTTTTTTTATTTTCATCGAACACAAAGTTTATGTTCCACAAATTAAGATTTCAGCATTTCTCTTTAAAAAATACAGCTTTGAAGAAACATTTATGATCATGTTTAAAACATTTCATACCGTATATAGGAACCGCTTCTGACGGTTCAGAAAACGCCCGTCATTGTTGGCGTTGAACTGAATATTGGACATTTTCATAACAACTTGTATATTATCATGCTTATCAATAAATGAACGTTTTCATGTAAAAAGTCTTATATTTCTCGGGAAGAAAGTTCCAATACCCTGTACGAGAGGGACACGCCTTAGATGCCATATTCCATTCCATTTAAAGCACGATGTATCACATTGCTACTGATTTATAAGGATATCTCAGTGTAAAATATATCTAAAACACGATTTTTTTTTTAAATTACAGTCCGTTTTTTTTTTTTTTTTTTTGCTGAATCATATATGATCAGCTCACGGTATTTTTTGTTAAGGGCACTGTCCTGAAGCTTACCAAGTACACGATATTCTACCTCCAAATATAACTTAAAACTTTCTTAGTGATACATTCAATTAAAGCTCAATTTCTTGTACCTGGGGGATCTAGTCTTAATTTTGTGACTTTCAGAATCAGTATAACTGTGGAGATGGGGTAAATTATAACATATTATAATTATATATTGTAGTTTTGCATTTTAAAAAAAAAGTGTTCAGTAAAATTGTGTATGAAGCTTAGCGAATCAAATAAGGATGCGGGGGGGGGGGGGGAGGGGCTAATCTGATGATGCAATCTGAAGGATGAATAGAATCCCCACTTAGTAATTCAGTGTGAAAAATCGATCCGGTTTATAATTTACAGATTAGTTTAATGTTCAAAATCAATTAATCTCCTAAACTCAAATATAAAATTGCACAGACAATCTGTTCTATTTCAATGGTCTGAAATACAAGTATAAAATGAAGCAAGCAACAAAACTGAGCGTCGAACTTTTTTTTTTTGTCAGAGAAATACAGGTATTCACATTCTACCGTCTTGTGTAGACAGTTCAGAGAACTTGAAGTGTCTTTTAAATTTAATTACCGATATTCCCTCCTAAGATATTCCTTGATCTGTTTTCAATTTCAATAGTGCTAATTACGGTGCATAAACTTGAAGTTTTAAATATATGCTCTCTTCCTCACAATCTCGAAGGCAATGGTATTCAAATTTGTATAAAGACCATCTTTTAGATGTATATACACTTACATCAAACCAAGAGGAACTCGGATATCACGATCAGTGGTCCCAAGAGTCAAAATACACAATTTAAATTTCCATCTCATAAGGAAGATATTTTGCTTTCAATATGCATATAATGACTTGTGTACCCGTTGTTTTTACGCCGATACACTGCATTTCCTACAATGCCACCATATATCAATGTAAATAAATCATAAATACAGATTGTTAAAACAGATACAGATGAGATAAGCCAATAGTATTTGGAGAAAATACAAAAATAAATATGGCGTTTTTAGGAAAACGTCCTGATAAATTGGAGTTTTCAACAACGACAAACTCTTTACAAAATGATTTACCGATACACAGAATTATGTTCTTAAGGTAGTCTACTTGTGTAATTGTTGAATTCAGACCCAAACTGTACGTGGAGTAGCGTTTTGAAAAAAAAATCGCAGGATTTTCTTTTTTGGGATAACCATAGCAAGACTGTTCATCAAAAAAAAGACGAAAAAAAAAATACAAAACAAAACAAACAAACAAAAAAAGCAAAAAAAAAAAAAAAAAAAAAAAACAACAAAAAACAACAACAAAAAAAAAAAAACAAAACAAAACAAAAAAAAACAACAAAAACAAAAACGGACGGACGGAGGGACACCTTGCAATCGAATAACCTCTTCTGGTCTCTGACCAATAGAGCTTAAAATGACAAAGTTCAGTGTTGCAAACCATATTTCCAAAAGAAGCAGCTACCAGATGAGAAGCACTGCAAAGTTGGAGGCTTCAAGGACGTCTGCATTGTACAACACTGTTCTTTTGATGGGAGTTGCGTCACGGCATAGGGAGACATTGCTGTTCAAGGAAGAACACTCCTAGTATATCTTAAAGAACAGTTCAGGGAAAATGTTCTACATGTCTTGCCCTTCATTTAAAATTGTGGACAACCACGCTGCAACAACATTCAGTCCCACACAGCACAAATTTATCGTGACTTCCTTGGATAACAGAACGTCTAAGTCATGGATGAAATGGTAGTACATCGTCCATGTAACCGACCAAGTCCACCACTGAAGGGAAGAATTGATCCAGAATTGGAAAAAAAACATTCCGCAACTATTTTTGATCCATGTAACTGAATCAAATCATTCCTCTTCCCTTATGGATGTCATATTTTTATTGAGTTTGCGAATCCTCCTACGACAACTTATGTCTTTTTAGTGTCCTCACATCAAACTGTTGTACACATTTACATGTACTCAGTATTACAAACGAGTATCTAACGTACAGGTGTCATAAAAAAAATGAATAAAGGACACGGAACGAATTTATCTCAATTGTTTTTCATTAAAATATTTGTAATGAGTTTCTTCTAAAAGTAAACTAAACTTCACTATAATGCTTCTTCTCCCCTAATTATTCCATATACAAATAAGTCTTTCTCCATTAAAGGGTTACCTGGGTCAACTATGGATGAAAATGGGGGGGGGGGGGGAATCAGAAATTCATGGGCAGATTTCTATGATTGCATGTGGCACTGATATTCTATTTTACCCACAGAATAAGAACCAAAATGTCATGATGTTTTTTTTTAACTTATCCTTTTGTTAAAACGAATCTTCATAAAGTACACATTGTTACCGGGAGGTCAGGGGAGGAGGTGGGGAAGTGAATACAAAATGAATTTAGGAGTAAGATAGAATTTTTTAAAAGTCACATTTTATAGATTTTGTAGATAAAACTTCTTTTTATTTACTTTTTGGTAAGCCTACATGGAAGTCACATAACATTACTAAACATCTCCATATTTCATTCAAGATCTTATCATAGTCATTTTGTTCAAAAAATACATTTAACAATTGTTCGATATAATGCTTAAGAAACCAATGCAAAGTTCAATGGAACCAACATCGTAACTTTTTGCATGTTACCTTAAAATACATTAGTACACTGAACATTGCCTTCAAACAAGGTTTAATGAAGAATATTTTCCAAACTTTTAGCTAATAAATTATCCCTCGATTCAAACAGTTTATCTACTCAATAGCAAAATCAAAGTCTATGGAAATTTAAAATTACTAAAATGACAACTACTTTGGAAAGAAATCCAACAATTTTCGTGATGTTCCGTCAGTGATCATACGTTCGGAATCAATTGAAATCACACTCGAGTGATCTCTACAAATAACTACTCCCTCATGCGCCTGATGGTAATGTCTTACATTAACATTATAAATTCCCGAAGACTTTGAAACATCGTGTCGTACTAGTTCATTTCAAGTTGTTCGTATAAAATCTCACTAAAATGGGTTTGGAAAAAATAAAACTTAATATATGTATAATATTATAATATAATATAGTTTTATTTATTTGATATTATTCTTATGTATCCCCCCCCCCCCCAAAAAAAGGATTTAGGTCTGAAATATAAATTGTGCTTTTTTATTACGTGCATCAAGCAACTAAAACACTTTGCACTTTTTTTGTAATGTGACTCGTAATTCTTGAATGCTATTGATTTAGTTTAAATGAAAAAAGGAGTTAAGATTTATTTAAGTACATGTATAGAAAATTAATACAAGTCACAATAATCATACAAACCAAGGACACAGATTTTAAAATCCACATGATTTCTATATGTTAAGATAAAATGAATTGAGTTTGACATATATACTCTTAACACAAAACACAATAATGATGAACAAATACAATTTTAAAACTTGTCTCGTTTTCATAAAACCGGTTACAGCTCAAACACATTCCTTTTAGGCCATCTTCCTTTCACTCTGTTTTCTGCATTCTTCAGGAGACACTATATAATCGCAATAAAAAAACACTTCCGAAATCAGCAATTTTAGAAAAATCTGTATCTGTTGCACACCCCTATACAAAAATAAGAAAAACTAGATGCGATCTCGTTGCGAGCAACGAGTGGGTCTTCCGTCCGATTTTTGATAAGATGAGATAAGAATTTGACTGAGATTTTCGTTCAAATATAATGATATAAATAAATTGTTAAGACGAACAATTTTGCGTTAGTAATGTTTAACAAAATATTGATCATTAAAGGGTTATAGATTAAAGACTTTCGGCCCTTCTTGGCCCCTAATGTGAGAGGTCAGCCTCTTTTTCTTGATATCATCTTAAAGCTCTCATGATTTTGAACACTCTTTGTTCAACAACTATTCAGAAATTCTTTTTTGTTTTCGGGATATATGCAAAAGATATATTAAGGGCCGGCCCTTCAAGTCCTAAATGGGGACGTCTAGCAAAAAATGAAAGAGTGCATCACATTGTTCAGAATATTATTTTTAGCGTCTTTTCTTCAATATTGTTTATCAAAATATTCTTCCTTTTCGAGATATATACAAAGATTATGCAATCTGGCCCCTATAGACCTATTATTGCGTAACATATGATATCAACATCCATGTTATTTAAACAAAGAGTGTAAAAATGAACTATTTCGGTTCAGTAATATATTACAAAATATTGATCATTAAAAGAGTTATTGATTGTATACTTTCGGCCCCTCTCAGCACCTAATTTAAGGGGTCAGACCCTTTTCCTTGATATCACTTAAACCTCTCATGATTTTGAACACTTTTTGTTTAACAATTATTCAAACATTCTTTTTCGTTTCCGAGAAGTATGCGAAGGATATATATAGGGGCCAGCCCCTCAAATCCTTAATGGGGACGTTTAGCAAAAATCAAAAGGTTGCATATTGTTTAGAACATTATTTTGAATAACTTTTGTTCTATATTGCTTATCAAATTATTTCCCACTTTTGAGATATAAAGCGTCAAAGATTTAGCATTCTGGCCCCTTATGGCCCCTAATTATGTAACATATGATGTGAATATCATAATATATAGTTGTAAATTGTTGGGATAAACATTTTTGCTTCAGTAATGCATTACAAAATATTGATCGTGAAAGAGTTATTGTTCAAAGACTTTCGGCCCCTCTCAGCCCCTATTTTGAGGGGCCAGCCCCTTTTTCTTCATATCACTTTAAAGCTCTCATGATTTTGAACACTTTTTGTTCAACAACTAGTCAGAAATTCTTTTTCGTTTCTGAGATATTTGCAAAAGAATATTTAGGGGCTGGCCCTTCAACTCCTTAAAGGGGACGTTAAGCAAAAAATGAAAGGTTGCATATTATTTAGAACATTATTTTGAACATCTTTTGTTCAATATTGCTTATCAAAATATTTCCCACTTTTTGAGATATAAAGCGTCAAAGATTTAGCATTCTGGCCCCTTATAGCCCCTAATTATATAACATATGATGTGAATATCATAATATATAGTTGTAAATTGTTGAAATAAACATTTTTGCTTCAGTAATGCATTACAAAATATTGATCGTTAAAGAGTTATTGTTCAAAGACTTTTGACCCCTCTCAGCCCCTATTTTGAGGGGCCAGCCCCTTTTTCTTCATATCACTTTAAAGCTCTCATGATTTTGAACACTTTTTGTTCAACAACTAGTCAGAAATTCTTTTTCGTTTCTGAGATACTTGCAAAAGAAGTATTTAGGGGCCAGCCCTTCAACTCCTTAAGGGGGACGTTAAGCAAAAAATGAGAGGTTGCATATTGTTAAGAACATTATTTTGAACATCTTTTGTTCAATATTGCTTATCAAATTATTTCCCACTTTTCAGATATAAAGCGTCAAAGATTTAGCATTCTGGCCCCTTATGGCCCCTAATTATGTAATATATGATATGAATATCATAATATATAGTTGTAAATTGTTGAGATAAACATTTTTGCTTCAGTAATGTATACCAAAATATTGATCGTTAAAGAGTTATTGATTAAAGAGTTTTGGCCCCTCTCGGCCCCTAATATGATAAGTCAGCCCTTTTTTCTTGATATCATATTAAAGATCTTGTCATTCTGCACAAATATTGTTCAATATGTTTTAACAAAATAATTATACTTTAAAAGATATGATATAAAATGTCTCAAAAATTCACTCATAATTCGTGTCCTAAATTTCGACCCCTACCGAGCTTCCATACTAGGCACTTCCGGAAAATATCTAAACCCAGGTGCAAAATGGCAACACGTCCTCTATCATCACTGAAAATTTCAGCGCTCTATCTTAAGCCGTTTTTGAGTTCCATCGCAGACAAGGAGGTCCTCTAAATTTTGATAAAAGGGCGATAACTTCCGACCGGAAGTTATTTTCTAGAAACGGAATTGCCGGAATTAACTTCAGATAGAAAGGTGTCAATCCTGAAAATTTGAAGCAAATCGATCGAACCATCTTCGAGAAATCTTCTGCACAAAATTTGTAAAGAAAAAAAAAAGGAAGAATAATAATAAGAAAAGTGAAAAAGAAACAATAGAATAATAGAAGGGTCTTCCGCTGAAGACGGAAGACCCTAAAAAGTATGAAAACGTAAGAAAAACTGTGTTTCGGAAAATTTTCAATCATTTATTATTTTTACAAATTACCAGTAATGACTTAGTTTTATTTTGAATTTTCTTATATTTTTCATGGGAAAATCCCTCATTTATTTACTTTTAGCATTTTAATTAATCTTGTTTAAAACTTATACATGTATCACGTATTACAGGTAGCTTTTATTTTGACGTTTCATTTTTATAAAAGATTTTTTTCTCGTCTTTGAGTGACTCACGCTATCCCTATCATTATTTATGTGGCGCCTATCTACTATACAATGGTTGGTTCCAATTATAAACATAAAAGAATAAGGTGTAGTTAATTTGTCAATCAATTAAAATAAAACAAACACCAATTTCTACTTATTAGCCGTGGACGGCAGTCTGGAGAGATTTATTACGGATGAAGTAGACATGCTGTTTCTTGTTCCTCAACTAGGAACATTACAAATGACTGTAGCTTATCGTTATAATACAAACACTATTTCCAAAATGCCTTAATGATCCACTTCTTTGGGAAGAATGATTTCTTTAAACGAAAAGCACACTTCCGTGATTTATTGAGACGATCTCCAGTCAACGATTATCACAGGATAGAGGCTTCATCACTTCTATAGCGCGGAATTACACGATTAAGGAAGCCGGCGTCTCGAAGTGTATAAGCCAGCCCAGTGATTTATTAATTGGTCGTTCTAGACGACGCAGATGTGGCGGACAATTGAGATTAAAGCGCTCTCTGTATCAACGTTTATACCGCAATATAAACACGGGAATTGCCGAAATGATCCAGAGCGTCAAAGAGTCATAGTGTGAAATTATTTTGTAAGTGCAGGGCAATAAAAATGTATATTACCCTTTAGGGGAAGTGGGGGAATGAGGGGCGATATCTCACAGACACTTTACAGACTCTTATTGCAACATGCAGCCCAAACTTCGGAGTCAAGATTTAATCATGATAAGTACATGCAATGAATCTAATTTGGGAAAATATAAACACTACAATTGAATCTTAAAAGAATGACTAAACAAAGATTGGGAGTATATTCTGTTTCAGTCATTCTTCGTCAATAAACAAACCAACTAATTGCATTCCTGTATTGATGGAAAATTGAAAACGGAAGTCAATAAATTTGCATCGCGACAAAACATGTCGAATGAGACTACTTTAAGATGATTATATTTAATTAAATTGGTGATGAAGATCGATTCCATTTTCTAGCTATCTAAGTAAGATGATATGCGGATCTGTACGGTATACGTCAGAGTGCGCACCTGCCTTTCTGGCGTTAACTAAGCCAGATTTATGGAATAGAACGGCGATGGTAAAATAATTACTTCTTGTAATAGAAATATACTTATCTAAGTTTATACACTCGTAAATCACCTGTGAATGGCACAAATCAACAAAAAAGCACAGAGTGTAGAAAGACGGTTTCATTACTGTCCCATTTGCCGCTAATTTAAGCAAATGAGAAAGTGAGCGATGTTACGTGAGAAGTTTATGCCTGTGAGAAGATTATGTGCCCACTGGATCAGAGATATCAAATTGCGGGTGGTCTGGGGGAATAAACATTTTGTAAATCCTTGGCTGCTGAGAAACTCGAAGAAAGGCGTGTCTTCAATGACATCTGATACCCATTGATGATGCATGGCGACTACACGATGTGATGGAGACACATTGAATCTTATCTTCCTAACAAACTATTAGATTGAAATATTGATCATACATCCAGGAAGTATATTCTTTCTTATCTCCTATTAAAAATGTTACTTGGCAGTTAAACCCCTTACACGAATTCAATTCGGTGCAACGCAACAAAAGGTACCACTCAAAATTATCAATGTATATAAACGATGAACAATTTGTTACGCAACGCATTCAACCGATCCGTCAACGAGAATCCATTAATTATCTTTATATATACCTCTGCTCCTCTCGTTTCTGTACATGATCGTCGGTAGTAGACAGATTATAGACTTCTTAAGAGGCGAGTCAGGCTAATAAATCGGCCGATATAACTATCACTTAGTCCGTATCAGTCTTCATCTCTAAACTTCTGTCGACGAGATTCCCGCGTAAATGGTGAACAGCACGCACGCGCTTTTGATATTGAAGACAATATTTATAAATGTTTACCCCGGGACTTCTCTTTAAGCCTGAGCGAATGTTATCTAATAAAGAGGCATAAACACGGTCTTTTGGATATGATAAGGTATGATGTGATTTAATGACGACGTGATGATAGTGATATGGATATACAATAAGCTTTCATGAAGAAAGCTGTTTAAACACTCTCAATCAAATATTACATCTGTTTCACGGTTTTCATTCACAAACAAAACTCTCTTACATCCCTACCACAACTTTGCACGTCATATTCTGGGTAGGCATGACTTCTCACATATTCACACTTTGTTTGCTTCATGCACTTATAAATTGTAATACACAATAACAGTAAAGTTCTATTTTCTAATAAGATATCTAATACCAAGATCTTATCTTAAATTGGTTAAGGGATACAAGTTTGCATTAAGATGCAAAAGTAGGAAGGGGAAGTATTCAAAAATGCTACAAAATATTCTTATAAGCTTAAATTAACTTTTTTTTTAACAAAAACTTTTTTATTTTATTGTTATAACTAACATTGCCCACGCTTGAAGTCTCCTCTTACAAATAATTGATATAAAATATTGTTATTTGTCGATTCAAACACCAAGACTTGCCCACGGTCAGACAGGTATTGCACATTTCTGTTTCAATACATCACGAGTTCGTCGTTTGCATTGCATTCCTGCACAGTTTTGCAGACTAAAACTACGAAAAATAAATCAAAAAATTAACCGAAAAACACGTTGTCCACGCTTGAAGTCTCCTCTTACAATAATTGATATAAAATATTGTTATTTGTCGATTCAAACACCAAGACTCGCCCACGGTCAGACAGGTATTGCACATTTCTGTTTCAATACATCACGAGTTCGTCGTTTGCATTGCATTCCTGCACAGTTTTGCAGACTAAAACTACGAAAAATAAATCAAAAAATTAACCGAAAAAACACGTTTTACGCGTTCTTTATTCATTGTTTTAAAATAAGGCTATTAATATAAATATTTTTCCCATTTGCTTTTCACTGGCATTTGCGTTACATCAACAACTCACCTGTTGAAAATGCAACACAGGTGACTGTTCAGTATACAAAAATAACACAATACTTGAGAAGCAGTATAAATTAAGGGTACCTTTTCAATAGATTTTATTAATCTAAATATATTTGGTTCTATTGAGTTGCCTATCGGCAAACGTATCATCTGTAATTCTCTCCCAGTCTCTCTGGGTCTGGCCGACCACGAAGCCGATTTCACGGCGACGGAGCTGTTCTTTCCTTTCCTCCACATCTGCCCAGCGCACCTGTTCAGTAATGTAAAACACAGTTAAATTATCTCATTAATGGCGGCAATTCTCACCTGTGTTAGTCTTAATAGTTGTGAGAAACAATGCTGTGGCAAGATTATTGTCTCAATGGTTTTTACAGAGCTTTCACTGCCTTTTTCTGCACTACTCTGCGCATTTGTGAAAAGTTAAAAGAGTTAACCTAATTCTGTATTTTACTATGCATGATGAAGTGATAATTTTCTTTCCTCACCCTTTTTTGTCCAGGAGCCAGAGGCTTAGAGTAATACTCTCCTAAGAATTCATCAATAGACACAGGGGTTGGTGGTCTTCTTTTCTTCTTTTGTACAATACCATCCAATTTGTCTGTAAAATGGGAAATATTTTTCACAGGAAATATAACAACTCTTCACATTCTTGGGGGGGGGGGGGGGGGTTGAAGAAGGCAAATTTTAGTCACATTTAGTAACTTTAAGTTTATCCCTCATTTCCTACCTAGTTCTTCTTCTGTACCAACTTCCCATTTGCTTTTCTTAATATGAACCTACAACACACAAACACATGATCACCATTTGGTCAAAGAGAGATAACTCTTTCATACAGACATAAAACTGCTTTCTGCATCTGTAAGAAAATTCTTAAAGCTGGAAAAAGGAAAATAAACGTGACATTGCTTTTTTTCAGCAAATCTAGTGACAGAGGAAACAATAAATGGAGTCAGAGAGTGGATTAAATTAATGTTGTTACAGCTTCATACTCTACCTTCCTTAAGGTTCCCAATTCTTCAACCTTGTAGAGATATCAGTAAGCTTGCTGTGATTCATGCAAGGCTTATGTATTTAACTTTTTAAATTTACCTCCACTTCATAATTTTCATCAAAGGATTTTTACTGAAATGGTCTTTCTTCATTAAGAGAGATGAGCATTTTACCTTTACTTTTTTCTTAAAATTGAATGGTTTTAGTCTGTTGTGTAACAAAACTGAAACTTAAATAATAAATGATGTTAAAATAATTTATTTAAAATGGGTCTCTTTTTACACTGATGAAATTTCAGTGTAGTATATGAGACAATATACCGGGATAATCTGGTGACATACCGGTACATGTAATTGATGAATAAGTGATTTCAATGTTTCTATGTAACACACTTTGACTAAAAAAAAAAGTAATATATTTTTGAGGTATTTCTGAAATGGTGCAATAGGGATTGTGCCAAAATATGGATCTCAGTTGACATTGGGTAACTAATAGTATTTCTTACTTATAAATGAATATCATATTGTTGAAAGTAAATAAAAGCTAAATGGGCAATGGCACTGAAACAACTTAGCAGCAAAACTGCCAACAACCAATTTGAAATCCAGTTCTTTGTAATAAACAGTATACATCTAAACCACCCAAAATACTTCTTCTACCCACCCCAATTCCTCCTTTACACTCTTATCATGCTATTTCATCTCAATATACAGTTTTAAAACTGATATCAAAATAAATATACATATTTTAAAACTGATTTCCATTGGCACTCACTCCAGATCCAAGTCCCACCCTGTAACTTACATCTCTAATTATCATTCAAGAAATATTCCCTCCCTTTCTGAAATTTGGAATAACTATTATTTTATATAAATACAATAGTTTTGAATTATATATACACACTTACATACAAAATCATGAGCAATGCATGTACAATGCATACTTTTCCTTCAAAATGTTTACTTAATTATAAATTACTGCATGGCCAGCTAAGAAAATGTTGTGATACATTTGGTAAGAAAAAGATTCAAATTTAAAGCCTTATTTTCCTCATACCCTTCCTGTTCTTTAACTGTATTCTGTACAAACAGAAGTAACTATATTACGAGAATTTCATACAGTTTTTTTTTTTTTTAAAAATACTAGTATTTTCCATTTGTACTTCCCAATGTAACAAACACAAACACAGAAAAATATTGATCAGTTACATTTTTCTATGTCCTTATACATGTATTTTTGATTTCTAAATACATGTAATTAGTGATGATTGAAACTGAAAAACATCATTTTTTATGTCTTTTCATTCATATCCATTACTGTAGATTCCTAAATATATGCGAGGAATAAATTATCGCATAATAACGCGAGAAGCACCACTCGCAAAATAAAATTACTCGCTTTTATTTTTATGGTGCTTTAATATATGTAAAATCTCTAGATAAATCACCAATTCGCAAATTATTTTTCTCGCGATTTGATGCCCTTTAGCCATTTCGTGATATTAAGTACTCGCGTAAAATAAGGAATCTACAGTAATCTCCAGAAAAGGAGCAAACCCACCCACAACACCCATGTTAATAAGATATATAACTTTATCAACTACACTCGGGATTACATAAAATGCTCACATGCATTTTATTTTGTCCAGAGTGCTGCAAAAAAATTTATTTTCTTCAAGTAACAATTCACTGACTTCTAATCATAACACTTCATAAAGTTTATTTCAAAAGTTTCTTTAGAAAATAATTTTTACCATAAAAAGTCAATGTTTTAAGGGTGCTTAAGGGCCCTCTTTACACTAAAGGAAAATATTTTTTGGACATTGGAAAAATTAAATTGTATATAGGTGTAAATATTGAGTTTTTCTATGTAATTTTCAACATAGGGCATGTGACATTTACCCTCAGGAAAAATGTTCAAAGACAATAGCATACTGATGAAGAAATCACTTCTTTTAAATGGGGAAAATACATATAAAGTATTCAATGGATTTATCTTGGCCCTTCAAGATGTTAAGATTGCTTGAATTGATCACAAATTGAGCAATTCACAGTAGATTTCATTTAATTCTACTTTCAATCAAACGGCAGATTACAGTAATTGCACAAAAATACCACAGAATCAGAACTCTTTAGTGTGCAATTTTCAGTAACATAAATGGCTTTTGTCAGTAATTTTTCACTTTTCATCAAAAATCTTGTTAGCAATACATAGGTTTAATGTTGCTTTATACATATGATAACAAGAATTTATAAATGACTTTTTGATTAATATCTTCTTCTTGTCAACATGTATCATAAATAATACATGTAAATAACCTTAAATAATCTGAGTATGCAGTATCATAAGGAGTTTGTGTGAACCCTTTCAAATGCTAAGGCATTTATATGACAGAAAAAAAATTCAGAGTATAACCTGGAAGCATAGTTTCCAGAGGTAAACCTGTAAACAAACTGTCCACAGGGTACATTTTGGGCAATCAGTGGTCTTCAACATGTGTATTAAAAGAAAACTTATAATACACTACAGAGAATACAAAAACGATAATGGGTACCTCTGCCATTTAAAGAAAATAGTTGGCAGTATTTAAGATCCTTGACAGTTTGCACAATTTAGTCTTTGACAAAGACAAAGGCAGTATTAAGTTCTACAGTTTAAGAATTCTGTTGTTGTATGTATTTTAAAACACAAACAACATAGGTGGAACCTTAAAAAAATATCTATGGCTGTGTTCTACCATAAGTAAAAGGAGGGATTTTGGGGTAGACCAAAAGCACAAAATCAAATCTTTACCCACTTTTCCACTTACAAAATATCAAAAGTGGAAAAGTTTGAATATATTTTTTATAAACTTATTCAACTAAAGTGACCAAAAAAAAAATCTGTTGGACTCACCAAAGCTGACCCTTTGTCCAAAGACAACCTGAAACAGAATCTTCATCACAACATTCAATAACGGTGGATACAGAATTACAACAATACTTACCCCGCCTATTTTGATCTCTTCCTCATCATCGCTGTCCGTTTTACGGCGTTTTTCTGATGGTTTGGTATCATCATCCTCATCCTCCATTTCCACCTACAGAATAAATGAATATATTTCCATCTACAGTTAAAATGAATACATTTCCACCTACAGATAAAATGAATACATTTCCACCTACAGATAAAATGAAAACATTCACACAAACTAACCACTGCCTTACCCCTTTCAAAAATAAATCAGCATTTTTACTTTTTTCATTTTCTTACACTTCTCTTTCTGAAAATTGCACATTCTTTTTTTCAAACATTTTAGGAAGAATCACTAAATCTACCATTCGTTTTTCTTTATTTCATAATAACTCCTCCGTTACCTCTGTTATGGAGTCCTCCTGTAGCACGGTCCGGACGTCCAGACGTAAATAATGCCTAGGGGTTTCTTCCCACTGTTTTTGTATCTGTTAAAAACAATAGGAGATGGTAAGGTGTTGTGATCAGCATAATATAAAACTGTTAAGAACAGTGGAAATAATAAACTTTATGTAAAAATTCTCAACTTTACAACAGAATTGATGACATTTGCATACCTTTTCAATCTCTTTGAGTGACCTATTATGTGTGTTACGCTTTGAGCATGCTGTCAAGTCAGCCTCAATTTCAGCAATGTACACCTGTCAATAGTAGATTAATACAATGAGGTAGCCATAGACAGCAACAGTAGAGGGTACTCCTCCACAAGCAATAAAAAGATTGTGCCTATTTTTCTGTACCTGAAATCCTTTAGATTTAGCGTAAGTACCTGAAATCCTTTAGATTTAGCATAACTACCTGGAATCCTTTTGATTTAGCATAACTACCTGGAATCCTTTAGATTTAGCATAACTACCTGGAATCCTTTAGATTTAGCATAACTACCTGGAATCCTTTAGATTTAGCATAACTCCAGAACTCCTCGAAGTGCTTGACTTTCTGGTTGACAGAGTCCACTATAATGAATGGGAAGAATCCGTCGTCTATCGTCTTTTTAAAGCTTTTGAACATGTTCTGTCTGTAAGTTTCCTCTAGCTCAGGTTCATACTCATATTCAAGCACCTGTTAGGAAAAAAAAGTATCTCGGTAGTATTAAAACACAAAAGAAAAAAAAAAATTTTAATTATTATTATTTTTATGACATTAAAATGATAGTCTGAAAACCTTATTTCTATCTTAATGCAAAATTTTTTAATACTCTTAATAATCTGGGAATGCATTTCAAATAAACCTAAGAAATTGTGTTTAATAAACATGTAATTTCAATACTTGACTCTTTTTGATATACATTTACATATAAATATTTATATTCTCTTGACCATTAGTGTACAAAGCTTACTTATAACTTTTTCTGACACACATACTGACCTTATCAGAAACCTTACTAAAACACCCCCACCTTTATACAACTCATATACAACAGCATAGTTACTAAATCTCACCTTTTTCTTGACTTTTTTGCCAGTCTCTGGATCTTTTTCTGTTTTTTCCACCTCTGTCATGAAGTAATCATCCAGACATAACATCCTAGGGGCCCCACCTCCATGCTGCACCTCCTTATCCTGTCAACACACCGACAGAACGAAATGAGTGAAATAGACACAGATGCTTGAGAATCCACACAAGGCAAAGAAAGGTAATTAAAATATACATGCTAAAAGATAACAGTTTCATAGTGTAACAATATTACAATATTTTCGAGCAAAACAACTGGTACTGACAAATAAATTTCTTTTCTCCCAAAATTGAAAAATAATTTTTTTTGTAAACTATTGTTTATAACATCTTTGATTAAACAGTTCTTTTTGAAAACAATTTTAATTAACTTTACAAAAATCAATACCTTTATGAGTTTTCCCACATAGGTTTTTCCTGAGCCTGGTAGACCTCTCAAAATGACCACGATCTGAGGTGGTCGCGTCTTACGTCCAGGCTGAGCCAAGAGATCCTCCACCTTCACCACCTCAATTCTTGGCTCGTGAACATTTCTATCTCGACTCGGACTTCCATATGATCCATAGTCTCTGAATCTGAAATAAATTTTGTAAACACTCTATCACTCCTTTAAAATTATTTTTTAATTTGTTCATTTTTTAATTTTACTTTTTAAAAAATATATATTTTAAAGTGAATTTTCAAATGGGGTGCTGACCTGTCTCTGTCCCTATCTATTGCAGAAGAAGGTCCTGTAAAACAATCAAGAAATCAGAATATGATTATGTAAAAGAGGAATAAAATTATGAAGTTTTCCTTTACTTGTGTACTACAAATACTAACTAGAAATTTAACAGTATGACTTACTCTCTTTTTCCTCCACAGTCCTACCATGACCGTAATCTATGACAGTTTGTGGGGCAACATAGGGGGTCTCTGGCTCTGAAAAATGTGAAAAGTTCATTAGTTTTAATCAGGAATCCAATCAATACTGAAGATATATCTATATTATACATGAAAATTCGTATAATGTATATCATGTGTTTTCTTCTCTTTTTTTGCAAAATACTTTTAAAGTTAAATTTCTTTTTTTTTAAGGACAGGGATATGGTTATTTTGTGTTTTATCACTTTCCAATAAAATAGACATTTGAAAAATCATTGAATTCAAAAATCATTTAATGAAGGCATTACTTTTAACTTTGATATCTCAGTTCAGCCTCATCAGAACAATTGATTCACTTTGACATAACTCAAGTATGTGACATTATTAAAGTTCATAGGTGCAAATGTACATGTACTGATTTTATGCCTTAAGCCTGAGTTCCAGCTATGAACTAATGACATACCCCTGGAGAGGAAATCCCCTGATGATTTGTGAGCATGATCAATGACCTCGGGTTTCTGGTATGGTCGATCCTCTGTAGGGGGTGGGGGTCTGTAGGTATCATAGTAATCTCGTCCATAATCCGGTCGACTGACCAAAAAAAAGATAACACATTCAGTAAGCAAGAAACTGGAAATGTAAAATTTGTGTACTTGGTCTGTCCTGCTTTTTAAGAAGTTAAGAATAACTGTTCTTCTGATAACACTACATGTAGATATGTTCAAACAAACAAGGGACCCATTGATATCCATTTTAATCCTTATTAGATATCTAACTAGAACTGTCCAAAGGGGACAAATACCCCCCGCTGGGTTTTTCAGAGAAGGTACCAAATCACTAATGTTTTCTAGATGTGAGAGGTGTTCACAATTTGCTTAAACATTTAGAGTGAAAATTTAATTACTCATTATATTTTTTTAATGAATGAAACTAAGGTGCAGCCTAATAAAACATCAATACTAGTCACATGTTAGTAATTACAGTGTTTTTTATTACATTGAAAAAAATAGTTTGCAACTATATGTCATCTTTGTGAGACATGACACTCGGCAAATTGATTGTTGAAAAAAAATATCATATTAATTAATTATACAAAATTAAATTGATCTTAATACCTTTATATCAAACTCATTTTAAAAATAAAAGGCTTTTTCCAGTAACTATGTGTTTTGACAGACATAAATAACAATTAAGAGACTTAGACAACAGAGATCTTTATTTCTTTCTGCCCAATTCCCAGGAGATATAGAAAAGACCTGCTTGATCAGAGATGCCCTAACAGCTTCCCACACTGAACTCATTAATTAATCTTTAACTGGATGCATGTCCACTCATTACTCCCAAGGGACAAATGGATTTACACTATCTACTGTGTAATGTAAAAACTGTTTTTAATACTTTGTGTTTTTTTTTTAAGTTCTAATGAGTAGTTTTAAGCTGTAGTTCACATTTTTGTACAGATGTTCTAGATTCTATGTCTCAAACCTTAGACATGAACCCAAAATGACTAAGTCAATAAAAATTAAAAAAAAAAAAACACCTGTAAAATGCAGAAAATTATCAAATAATGTTGAAAATACCAGGTGAACATCTTCATATGGTAAATAATAAGTGTACAAATTTTCATACAAATCTATGCAATAGTCTCTGGGAACAGATCCGGACAAAACCACATAATAAAAATGAAAAAAAACACCTGTAAAATGCAAAAAAAATTATCCAATCATGATGAAAATACCAGGTGCACACCTTCATATGGCAAAGAATAAGTGTACAAATTTTCAGAAAAATCCTTGCAACAGTTTCCAAGAAATGGTCCGGACAAAATCTCGTCTACAGACAGACGGACAGACAGACGGACAAGCTGATTCCAATATACCCCCCCTAAACTTCGTTTGCGGGGGGTATAATTATTGTATGGTAAAGTTCCCTTTGGAGCCAAAAATATGTTCCTGGAAAAGAAAATCAACTGTAGTACAGTTATCAATGGAATGGATCAGGTCATTCAGGTAGGGGTGGGAGTCTATATGTTAGCTGCATGGAAGGTAGTATGGTTACCTATGGTATGGATCAGGTGGTGGTGGGGGCCTTTATCATACCTGTATGAATCATAGTACAGTCGCCTATGGTATGGATCAGATGGGGGTAGAGGTCTGTACAAGACCCCTATGGATTGTAGTATGGTTTCCTCTGGTATGGATCAGTTGGGGTGGGGTTTTATAAGGTACCTGTATGGACTGTAGTACGATCTTTTATCTTTGGAATACAGTGTGGCTAGGGAATTGTTGTGTTACCTGTATGGATAATAGTACAGTCAGCTATGGTATGGATCGGGGGGGGGGGAGTCTACATGTCATTTGTATGGATAGTAGTACAGTCACCTATGGTATGGATCAGGTGGGGGGGGGGGGGGGGGGGGAGAGTCTACATGCCACCTATATGGATAGTAGTACAGTCAGCTATGGTATGGATCAGCAGGTGGGGGGGGGGGGGGGGGGAGTCTACATGTCACCTATATGGATAGTAGTACAGTCAGCTATGGTATGGATCATGTATGGGTGGGGGTCTTACCTGTATGGATCATAGTAAGGCCTCCTTTCATAAGGATCAGGTGGGGGTGGGGGTCTTCCGTAAGGATCATATCTCCTGTAGTATGGGTCATATCTATCATAGTATGGGTCCCTTCGTTCATAATAAGGGTCAGGTGGGCCTCCATAGGTGTCTCTTCTTTCAAACCGGCCATACTCCTACAATGTTGAAATAAATTCTGAATAATTAAAAATAAAATGAGCTAACTATACATATCTGGACTTGAAATTTTTTTTCGCATTTATGTAAAGAAATTTTTTAATTTGAGTTAAAAGCTTGAGATACAATATTTTTCTTTTAAAATCTCTTAATATTCACAATGCAAAGCTGAATATTTATTTAAAATTGATATTAATTTTTTTTCTGTATTATAAGTTGCGCATTTTCACAATGATTTCAATATGACATACATCTGCTGGTTCCCCTCTGAAAGCCTCCCGTTCTCTGTCATAGAAACCCTGCCACAACAAAAATAAACAAATCTATATGATACAGATCTATACACATACAGATGTGTTTGTGAAACACTGATGCTCCCGTATGGCAGCTTATGGCGAAGGTTAAAGTTTCTCAAATGCAAGTCAAAATCCAGGCCAAAAGATAAAAAATGTTGGTACCCAAAGAAAGGTCTTGTCTTGAGGAATATACCTGTGAAATTTGAAAGCCCTAGCTGCAACTGTTCAAAAGTTATGGCCAAGTTTAAAGTTTTTCAAAAGTAGGTCAAACTCCTATGTCAAGGTCAAAGTGGTTGGTATCCAATGGAAGGTGATGTCACAAGGATTACATATGTGAAGTATGAAAGCCCTAGCATCAACCATTCAAAAGTTATGGCCAAGGATAAAGTTTTTCAAAAGTAGGTCAAACTCCTAGGTCAAGGTCAAAGAGGTTGATATCCAGAGGAAGGTCTTGTCACAAGGAATACATATGTGAAGTATGAAAGCCCTAGCTCCAACCATTCAAAAGTTATGGCCAAGGTTAAAGTTTTTCAAAAGTAGGTCAAACTCCTTGGTCAAGGTCAAAGGGTCATAGAGGTTGATATCCAAAGGAAGGCCTTGTCACAAAGAATATACATGTGAAGTTTGAAACCCCAAGCACCTACTGTTCAGATGTTATGGCCAAGGTTAAAGTCTCATAAAATTTTGCAAAAGTGGGTCAAACTTCAAGGTCAAGGTCAAAAGGTCAAACATGATGGTACCCAATAAAAGGTCTTGTCACAAGGAATACACATGTGAAATATGAAAGTCATAGCTCCAACCAATCAAAAGCTATGGGCAAGGTTAAAGTTGACGACAGACCAACAGACAAACAGACAGGACAAAAACAATATACTGATGGGATCTTTCAATCCAGGGGCATAAAAATCAATTTAATCAATTCATTCTGAATTTTTAACTAGTGGTACTTTAAGAAGAGCTCACAAAATGATTTGACTACAATGACATACTCATTGTTTTGCTATGGGAAACCCCAAATATCTGTCCCATCAAAATGTGAAATAGGAAGTGTGCTGTGTAATAAAGATTCTAGGAAAGTCTGTCTAAATTTTATTCAGTGGTATAGGAGGAGTTGTGGATAAAAGATAGGTATCTTCATTGTTAAATAAAGAATGGCAGAGTCTATGTTTTGCTATGAAAAGTACCACTAAATAGGTGGTGCAAAATAACTATTAATAGAGATTCTTGAAAATTTCATTAGATTGCATTCAGAGGTGTAATAGGAGTTTTGGATAAGGGTAGGCTATCCCCAAGTGTACCAAGAATGGAAAAGTCCATGTTTTGCTATGAGAAACCTCAAATCTGTTGATCAACACATAAAATAGGTGTATATTGGCACTATGTAATAAAGATTCTGAGAAAGTCTCATTAAATTTTATTCAGTGGTATTCATATAGTATAAGTTGCATATAAGAGATGGGTACCCCAAATAAAGAAATGGCAGTGTCAATGTCCTATTTTTTGTTTTCTTTGGACAGATCATGATAACTGAGATTTCCAATTGCAAAACATGGTTACTACCATTAATTCTACAACATTGGGATGCCCACCTCTTTTCTGCAACTACTTCTATAATAGGAGGTTGCAATGGACTTATGTAATAAAGATTCTGTGAAAGTCTCATTAAATTTTATTCAGTGATATAGACGTTGCAGATAAGAGATGGGTAGCCCCAAGTCTTATAGATGAATGGACGGAAGGATAGACACCCCCATCAATATTAACCCCCCCCCACTTTTCAAGCAGGGGGTAAACATATAAAATAAGGTTTTAAAAACAATGTAAAGGATATTTACACAAATTTTACAAATTTTGTGCAAACTGTATCACACTGTGCTTGATTTACAATGGCAACCTTGGTTAAATAAATCAAGTATATGTCTGACCTCTCTCTGTCTCTGGTCATGTCCATAGGGGTCGGAGTACTCAGGTGCGGCTTCATCCTGATTTGCAGAGTATGGCTCCCTCTGACTCATTCCTCCCCTCCCTCTGAATGGTCTCCTGGCACCTCGACCACGGCCCCTCCAGTTAGGACCCCATGGAGCCTGCCATACATCCTCCCCATCCTCAAAACCTTCAACTTAAGAGTCAACGTACAGAATTGAATTTCAATTGTAGATAACCTTTCTTGAACACATAAAAATGTGTTGTTTTTTTTTTTTCTCAAATGCACTCAATTAGATATTACCATTTCATTTTTTTTTTATATTCTAATTAAAAAGCAAAAAAATAACAACATATTTATTGAAAACTTATGCTGTAAAAATAAAACAGGCAAAAAATCCAAACCTTGAGGATGTTCCTCCTCTTGTGGCATATTTTGAGGTTCATTGGAAGCATCTGAAAACTGTTTTGGCTCTAACTGGTTTGGACCTGGCCCTCTAGGACCTGGGGCTCTTGGTCCCTGTTGATTTGGATCTGGGCCCCTTGGACCTTGTTGGTTGGGACCTGGGCCTCTAGGACCTTGCTGGTTTGGCCCAGGGCCTCTTGGACCCTGCTGATTTGGACCAGATGGTCTAGGTCCTTGCTGGTTTGGCCCAGGGCCTCTTGGACCCTGCTGATTTGGCCCAGATGGTCTAGGTCCTTGCTGGTTTGGCCCAGGGCCTCTTGGGCCCTGCTGATTTGGCCCAGATATTCCAGGTCCTTGCTGGTTTGGCCCAGGGCCTCTTGGGCCCTGCTGATTTGGCCCAGATACTCCAGGTCCTTGCTGGCTTGGCCCAGGGCCTCTTGGACCCTGCTGATTTGGCCCAGATGGTCTAGGCCCTTGCTGGTTTGGTCCAGGGCCTCTTGGACCCTGCTGATTTGGCCCAGATGGTCTAGGCCCTTGCTGGTTTTGTCCAGGGCCTCTTGGACCCTGCTGATTCGGCCCAGATGGTCTAGGCCCATGCTGATTTGGTCCAGGGCCTCTTGGACCCTGCTGATTTGGTGCAGATGCTCTCAGTCCTTGCTGGTTTGGCCCAGGCCCTCTTGGACCAATATGATTTGGACCTTTGTCATTTGGAGCAACACTTCGAGGTTCATTCTGAGGTGGAAATGGGGGTCTTTGACCTTGTCCTTGATTAGGCCCTGCCCCAGATGGTCTAGGTCCTTGATTAGGTCCTGGTCCCCTGGGTCCAAACTGGTTTGGTCCAGGTGCTCTTGGCCCTTGATTTGGCCCTGGTCCTCTAGGCCCCTGTTGATTAAGACCTGGTATCCTTGGAGCTGATTGACCAGAAGCCTGAGGTTGTGATCCTGGGCCTTTCTGCTCTTGTTCAGCAAGCAGCTGACCTTGTTTTTTCAAACTTTCATCAGATTTTTGCTGCTGACTTGCTTTATTATCCACAGCTTGTAGTTTAGGGTCATTATTTTGACCTGGCTTTTTCAGTGGGGAACCTGGATCCTTCTTTGAAGTATCTGAATCTAATTTGACTGGAGTTTTTTCTTGATCTTTCTTTTCACCAGAATCACTTGCTTTCTGTTCTAACTTTTTAAGTTCATTGAGAGTTTCTTGCTGTTTTCTCAGCTTTTCTATTTCACTAGATATATTTGTTGCTCCACTCTGAAAAAAAGAAAAGAAAACAACATGGAACTATTTTTTAGTATTAAATTACTGATATAGAAGGTTGTCAAAAGATAAGAAATTTTAGTAAGATTTCCAACAGGGAAGTATACTTAAATAACATGTACATTTAATTTTGTATAATTTAGACAAAATTATAAACTTTACCTTGGAGATTTCAGTCTGACTATTTGATCTGAAAACAAAATAGAAGTTGTTATCATGATGATTGTGTAATTTGTATGTTATTAAGACTTTAATAATGTCTTTATAAATTGATTAAAAATAATCTTCATCTAGAAAATAACAAGAGGTCCATGGGCAACAATTTTCACCTTAATCATCACTTCTGCAATGCTATCCTTGAGTAGAAATGATTTTTAAATCATTTTCCTATTAATTCCCATGTAAACTTTTCACACATTTCGGCCCCACCTCAAGACATAAATGAAACCTGAATCTAGAACTGTCAAAAACCACTGGTCTTATCAATAAGGCTGGTAAAAAAATTGTGTAGACCAATAACTTACACAGGTGAAGGTAAAAAATAACAAAAAAAGGCCACATGCCTGATCAGATTTGTTAAAGGGTGAGAATACGAAAGTGCCAGACAGAAAACCTTTGAAAAGAATAAAGGGCATTTTGGTGCAGTTTATTATATTTCTTTCTGTACAAAAAAGGTCTGACAAAATTTGTCAGGTCTGACAGAACCTTTAGCTATGTCAGACCAAATGTCTGACAATGATTTAAAAACTTTAACTACTCTGTGAATCTATGCTGTATGGTATGGAGATGGGTGTATCTCATTGTGACTAACTGGTGTTTTGCTGCTCTTAAGATTTTTAAGACCTCTATTGTGATCCCACCTAGTAGCCCCAGGGTCAATGGCTTGAATCTTCACTTCTTAAGATGCTTACAAATCAATATGACTAATTTAGCTCTGATGGTCATAAGAATTTTATTTAAGATTTCCACAATAAATTACTAAGTAAAAATATGACACCCTATTAACTGTAAGACAATGCTAACATCCAGTTACGGATTAGAACAAAATTTCTCCCTTCAATAAATTTGTTTTTTGAGGGTAGAAATGTGATTAGTTGATCTGACTTACCCTTCCTGTATTTCCTGCTTCAGTTCTTGTGACATATCTTCAGTGGACTGGTTTCCTCCCCTTCCCTGTAGATGTTTCTGAAGCCAGGGCTGCTGTCGACTTTTAGCCTCCTCCTGCTGTGTTGTCCATCCCTCCCTCTGCTGGCTCTGTTGATTTCCAGGAAATCCAAACCTTGGTCCTTGATTCTGCATGTTCCTCCCACCAAACCTCTGATTCTGATTTGGGTTGTTGAAGCCTTGCTGGAGGTTCTGTTGATTTGGATCATTTCTCTGGAATCTGAACCTTGCATCTCCTTGTCCACGATTAAACCCAAACCTAGGTCCACCCCTGCCTTGTCCAATGGGAACATTATTTGGATTTCTCTCAAAAGAATTGCCATACTGCTCCTCTCCTGTCTCATCTTGCCCTCCATCAAATCCCTCCTCCTGGTCCTGGTTTGTGAAATCCATACTCATCAGAGGGACAGGACCTCCTCCCCTTCCACCTCGCTGGTTACCTCTTCCACCACGACCTCTTGGAGGTCTCTGACCTCTTGCCATTCCTCGACCAAAATTCTGTTGTTCCTGACCTCCACCAAATCTATCATTTCCTCCCATTGGTCGAGGCCCACGAGGGCCTGCAGCATGTGGTCCTCGAGGTGCATACTGATTCATCTGGTTCATCAACTGGCTCCCCTCCTCTTCATAATCTTCATCCTCATCCAGATCCATTCCTTTCTCCTCATAATCCTCCTCCTGATTCATTCCTTGAAAGTTGTTATTGAAGTTACCTCTGGGTCCTTGATTTTGATTCATTTGGGGCCTGAATTGATTCATCTGATTCTGAGGGCCTCTTGGACGGAAATCTTGTCGACCTCCTCTATTCATCTGGGCACCTCTAGGTCCTGACATCTGGTTCATTCCTCCCCGAGGACCTGGACCTCTAGGGCCTCCAAACTGACTTTGAGGGGCACCTGCCTTATTCTGAGGGGCACCTGCCTGGCTCTGAGGAGCACCTGTCTGGCTCTGTTCCTGATATAGCATTTGCTTTCGTCTCTGAATGTCTGCCCTTTTATCATCCATTTGTTTTTGGTATGACATCCACTGTTGTTCATATTGATGAAATTGATCTTTGTTTGGATGATCTAAGAATACAAAACCAAATGTACATCTCTGTGAATTGGCTATATAAAAATTGATTGTACATCATCGTGAATGGGCAATACATAAGATTAAGTGTGCATCTTAATGAAAGGGTTATATATAAAATAAATTGTTCATTGTTGTGTTTGGGCTATATATAAATCTAACTGTACATCATTGTGATTGGGTTAAATTTTCTTTTTACTCTGATTTTTGATTTCCTGAGTTTCCCTTCATTGATTCCTACTTACTCTGATTTTTGATTTCCTGAGTTTCCCGTCACTGATTCCTACTTACTCTGATTTTTGATTTCCTGAGTTTCCCGTCATTGATTCCTACTTACTCTGATTTTTGATTTCCCGAGTTTCCCGTCATTGATTCCTACTTGCTCTGATTTTTTATTTCCCGAGTTTCCCATCATTGATTCCTACTTGCTCTGATTTTTGATTTCCCGAGTTTCCCATCATTGATTCCTACTTGCTCTGATTTCTTATTTCCCGAGTTTCCCATCATTGATTCCTACTTACTCTGATTTTGTTCCCTCCAGTCATCATACTGTTTCTTCCACTGCTGGTATTGCACATCAAAATCTCTCTCCTCTTGTGAAACAGCTTCTATCCTTTGTTGAAGATTTCCTACAATGAACAATTATACCAGTAACTAACAATAGAACACCATTTCTAGCTTTAATTTCATAAAGTGTAGATTGAGCTGAAAGATATTGTAAATAAAAGCTTTCTCTATCAGGCCTTTAAATGGCCTCTAAAATTTAGGCGCCAGCTGGCACCTTATCAAAAAAAAAAAAAAGTCGCCAATGCAAATTTTTAGTCCCCAGGCCATTTTTGTACGGCGCCAACTTTAAAAGTTAATAGAATATAGGGACCCATGACATGCCTAAGAAAACAATTTGGCGACTTATAGAAAAATTTTAGGCGCCAATCAAAAATTTTAGGCGCCATAGTGACTAAATTAGTCACTATTAGAGCCCTGTCTATGTGCTAGCGTATTTTCACACGTTAACCCTACCACTTTAGGCAGGAGTCTACCGCTTTTCTACGCCATCTCCCACCTACCACTTTTATTAAAATATCTGCAGCTTTTCTACAAAATCTGTTTTTGGTTCGCTTGGGTAGCCATTTTGAAGCCACTCGGTCATAAAATCTTGGTGGATTGTAATGATCTCGCATGATTTGAACTGGGAGCATAAAATGCTTTTTTTTCATAATGAGGAGCATAAAATGCTTTTTTTTTTAATACTAAGGAGCATAAAATGCCTTTTTTTCATACTGATGTTAACACAGATTTCAAGCACACGTTCTGACGATGACTGGTGCACACATCTCCTCGATTACATTAGTAACGACAAATTTCCTCAACATCCTGTCAAGAAAAAGGGAGACACAGTATTCTAGAACCTAGATGAAAACGTGTGACTTCATTCATCAAAGTGAAAAGGGAATCAGCATTCATGAAATATGGAGATAATGAACAGTATTTAAGCTCAAAGTCCATGAAAACAATACAAATTGGGAGCAGAGCAAACACGGACCTTCAAAAACAAAGTGGGATCAGGTGCCATGGAGGAGTGAGCATCCCCTGCCAACTGGTCACACCAGTCGTGTGCTCCTTGTCATGATCAGTAAATAACAGAAAAATCCGTCGACAATTCAGTGTGTAAATAATGGCTTAACAATTAGTATGAAACATAGCTTATCAAAGATTACGAAGTTCACCTCGACGAATGTTATCTTTAAGTAAGGCAAATTTCACATTTTTTTTTTTATTTAGTGTACATCCCAAGATCAGTGTCCATGCAAGTTTGGTTTAAGTACGACTTATAGTTACTTGGAAATAGACCTGTTCAAAAAATGTTTATCCTGTTTACTAATCAAGAAAATTTTGGTCAGTTCCAACATCCAAAGTGAGTCTGGAAGTTTTCATCCTTAGATGCACCATCTATGCAAGTTTAATCATAACAGGCCATAATGTTATATAGCTACTCCAAAAAAATTATCCTGGTCACTCATCTGGAAAATGTAGGTCAGATTCAGAATCCAAAGCAAGTCTGGAAGTGACCATCCCTAGCTACATCATCCATGCTAATTTGCCAATGGTTAAAATATGGCTAAAATTCACTCATGTGGAAAATCAAGGTCGGATCCAGCATCCGAAGCAAGTGTGGTAGTGTCCATCCCTAGATGCATCATCCATGCAAGTTTGGTCCAGGTAGGGCTAATAGTTACTTGGGTATGGATCTGCTCCAAAAACTTTAACCTGGTCACTCATCTGAAAAATCTAGGTCAGATCCAGCATCTGAAGCAAGTGTGGTAGTGTCCATCCCTAGATCAATCATCCATGCAAGTTTGGTCCAGGTAGGGCTTATAGTTACTTGGGAATGGACCTGCTCCAAAAACTTTAACCTGGTCACTCATCTGGAAAATCTAGGTCAGATCCAGCATCTGAAGCAAGTGTGGTAGTGTCCATCCCTAGATGCATCATCCATGCAATTTTGGTCAAGGCAGAGCTTATAGTTACTTGGGTATGGACCTGCTCCAAAAACTTTAACCTGGACACTCATCTGGAAAATCTAGGTCAGATCCAGCATCCGAAGCAAGTGTGGTAGTGTCCATCCCTAGATGCATCATCCATGCAAGTTTGGTCAAGGTAGGGCTAATAGTTACTTGGGAATGGACCTGCTCCAAAAGCTTTAACCTGGTCACTCATCTGGAAAATCTAGGTCAGATCCAGCATCCAAAGCAAGTGTGGTAGTGTCCATCCCTAGATACATCATCCATGCAAGTTTGGTCCAGGTAAGGCTTATAGTTGCTTGGGAATGGACTTGCTCTAAAACTTTAACCGGGATGCCGACGCTAACGCCGGAGGTATAGCATAAGCTTCGTCGAGGTGAGCTAAAAATGTCTGTCAGAATATGACTTGATAGATTTTATTTGCTGACGAGGTCATTGTATCGACCATAGAACTTATGAAATGATGACTTTAAACAAGACTGTTGATATTCTTGTTTCATCAGCTTGTTTGTCAAGAACTTACTTCGTTTTAGAAATTGTTCATACGTAGAGCATGCTCTTGTGTATTGAATCAACTGAGAGATATACATCCCCTTTGCAGGTGATTAAGGCATACTGCTGCATAAGTAAGGGAAATTGAAGATTGAAAAGTTTGAGTCATCACATTTATCATGAAGCTTTGTTGTTAGAAAAGTTTAAGTCATCACATTTATCATAAAGCTTTGTTGTTAGATTACCATTAACATCTTTTTCTGGTAAAATATATAAATATGAAACAGATGTGTCAGACTCTGTGGTACCTTTTATTTCAAACTCACTGGGATATATCCTATCGACATATGAATGGAAATAATTATTGTTATTTGGTAATATGTTGTCGATATATCTAAATGTTGAGTTGAAGGCCACAGCAAGAGATTTCTTTTTCTTGTGTTTAAGAATTTGAATAAATTCTGCTTCATATGAATACAAAAATAGGTCTGTCTCTCTACTTTCACTTTTGTCATCCCGGGAAATCCAGATTTTTTTAACGAAATACAAAAAAGTTTTAGATCTCAATTATATAATGACATCTTTTGCTAAAAATATTTATTTGTGTAATTTATGTAAACAGTGTTTTTGTCCTCTTTTAAAATAGCACTTGATATTTTATTTTAATTACTTCAGTAGTCATTTGAGGCAATATCTACAAACATATCTCAAACTCGAAGCGTAAAACACTGCGCCAATGCTACCTCTTTTGATGTCTGAATCTCCCCCTTTTTCACCATAGTAGGTTGACATGTATGATAATTTTCAAAGTTTAAAAAGAAAATTTATTCCCTTTTTCTGCAGTGCCTCTAAAAAGCTCTTTCTATAAGATACATCAGTTATTTCTTCTGTCATAATTATATATAAAAAAGTTTTGACATTATAAAAATAAAATTGACTATTAGATAACATAAAAGTAAAACATAGAAAAGATTCAATTGGTATCATCTGTTGATAAGAGAGATATCACCTGATTTAAAAAAAATCTTCCTGCCACATTTGAAGTTGAAATTTTTGGAGTGAGAAACTAACTAATGATTTTTTGTCTAATAGAATGACTTATTTTTTCATAAGCTTTGTTGTTATTCTGTAAAAATACACAAGAATACATATATATAAACACAAATTTTGTGAAAACCAACCTGAGGCTCCAGACATCTGTTGCTGCATGCCTCCATGTTGCTGCAAGCCACCTTGTTGTTGCATGCCACCTTGTTGTTGCATGCTTCCCTGCTGCTGCATGCCACCTTGTTGTTGCATGCCTCCTTGCTGCTGCATGCCACCTTGTTGCATGCCTCCTTGCTGCTGCATGCCACCTTGTTGCATGCCACCCTGTTGCTGCATGCCTCCATGTTGTTGCATGCCACCTTGTTGTTGCATGCCACCATGCTGCTGCATGCCTCCATGTTGATACATGCCACCCTGTTGCTGCATACCTCCCTGTTGTTGACCCCATCCCTGTCCTGCCCTGTGTTGCTGTGTCCAAGTTTGTTGCTGTTGCCATTGTGCTGCTTGTTGCTGCAGTTGAGTCAGTTTCTGTTTTTCTGCATCAGACATGGGCTTCATTTCTTTCTCCTGATAAAAAAATAAGAACTTGATTCCGTCTTAATTTATTTGTTACAATGATGAAGTACTTTTGTTTAGATTATATTTTCATTCTTGTGTCTGTCGCCCACATGGTAACAAAAGTGGTTAAATCTTATTCTAGAGTTGCGGAGTAAGGAGTTGATCCTTAAGTCTCAGGTTCAAATCCCACTGCGGGACACTGAGACCTTCCCTTCGCTTGAGACTGTATTAACCAAGATCCCCTGTTGCAGTAGGTGCATGCATGAAAAAGATCCTCACTGTTCAATGGGCATAAGTGCCCAGTACAGGTCTGAATTCGCAGCCCTCCACTCGCATGTGGTGGCATCTCAATATGACTGAAAAATTCTTGAAGGGACGTTAAACAAACCAACCTAGAACCCCCCCCAAAAAAATGTAATCGACCCTGTAATCTAAACATTAAAACAAGAAGTCTGCGAGCCAATGCTCACTAATAATTCCCCGCTCTGATGTGAATACACAAGTTCAGTTATGGATAAACAAAGTGATAATCAGGAAATTGACATTGGATTAGTAAAAAATGAATCCCAACATATGGCATGCCTAAACAAACATTGTGTGAAGATTTCAAGCACCTGCAATGAGTAGTTGCTGAGAAAACTGCGACCAAAATTTGTTATGTATAGTACAGACAGATGCAGGGATAAACAGGAAGTTGACATTGGATTTGTACCAAAATGAATCCCATTATATGGCATGCCAAAACAAGATTGTGCTAAAATTTCAAGCATCTGCGATGAGTAGTTGCTGAGAAAACTACGACCAAACTTTGTTATGTATGGTACGGACAGACGCACGGATAAACAGGAAGTTTACATGAGATTCGTACAAAAATGAATCCCACCATATGGCATGCCTAAACAAAGAGTGTATTAAAATTTCAAGCATCTGCAATGAGTAGTTGCTGAGAAAACTACGACCAAAGTTTGTTATGTATGGTACGGACAGACACACGGATAAACAGGAAGTTGACATCAGATTAGTACAAAGATGAATCCCACCATATGGCATGCCTAAACAAAGATTGTGCTAAAATTTCAAGCATCTGCGATGAGTAGTTGCTGAGAAAACTACGACCAAAATTTGTTATGTATGGTACGGACAGACACACGGATAAACAGGAAGTTGACATCGAATTCGTACAAAAATAAATCCCACCATATGGCATGCCTAAACAAAGATTATGCTAAAATTTCAAGCATCTGTGATGAGTAGTTGCTGAGAAAACTACAACCAAAATTTGTTATGTATGGTACGGACAGACGCACGGATAAACAGGAAGTTGACATCGAATTTGTACAAAAATAGATCCCACCATATGGCATGCCTAAACAAAGATTGTGCTAAAATTTCAAGCTTCTGCAATGAGTAGTTGCTGAGAAAACTGCGACCAAAATTTGTTACGGACAGACAGACACACAGACGGACAGACAGACAGACACACAAGGGTAAAAAAGTATACCCCCCTCTCCTTCGGAGCGGGGGTATAAAAAATCAATATTGTCATAAGGGTCACATGATGTAATCCCATTTGCCCCCTGAAGTTAAATTTTATAAGTGCATGTATATGAAAAATATATAAACATCTCATTTTGAATTATTTGCATCTGTAAATTCTGTTATTTTTTCTTAAGTAAAAGTTAAGTGTAATTACTTTTTTTTTTAAAAAAGGAATTAAAGTTTACTTTAGTTATGAGCATTTTTGAGATAAAAGGGAGTTTTGTGACGTCGAATCATGCAGGTTTTGTTCCGTCATATTAACCAAATACTGTACTACTAAAATATTACTTTGAATGAATAAATAAATCTGGTAATAAAGGTGATAAATGTGCTTTAAGTTAATAGCATGCCATTGGGCATTTTAATAGCCTTTTCATTGCAAAATACCATCTGTGCATCCCAAACATATCTATGATATCGCATCAGACCTAACATCAATCAAAGTGAGACCTGGTTTGGATCTACATTTAGTCAATTTCTGATTTGCTTTATTAGGCATATCATAAGGGAGTAATAAAAAACCATCAACTTTCCAATAGAGAATACCTCAACAGTGAGGATACAGAACTTATTAACCAAAAGTTACTCCTCATTTTCAAAATATTTATAGCTGTATAAAAAAAAACTTTTTTGCACTATAAATTTATATCCCATTTGGGCAATTAGTCCCAACCAGATGAAGGTATGAATGTATGTGAATAATGCTATGTGCTTATGTAGCTGTTGAATGGTTGGTGTAACCTTTCCTTCTGAGAATTATTTTAAACACAATCACTTGGCAAATATACATGAATTCTTTGTCAATCATAACAATACTTTGATATCATTTTCTGTTTTTGTCAAGTTGTAGAGATTGTCCCTTTACGGTATATAAAAATACTAAAGGTAAGAAACAAAATCTTGTAAACACACAGGGTGCCCTGCTTTGAGGGAGATTCTCAATGTTAATACATGTACAACATAACCAATAAAATTTATACAAGAGGCAGTTCAGGGAGATGTTGTTTTACAAGCCTTACAGGTTTACACTTGGTCAAAACTATTCATTTACCCTAGATTTAAGTTAACAGTATTTTCCCAATTTTCTTTCATTGGCAGCCCAGCGATTTTTTTTTCTACTGATTGGGAATGGGTCCAATACCAATTCAATTGTGAAAATAACATCAAAATAGACACTGATAGAACAACAAGAGGCCCAAGGGCCTTAACAGTCACCTGAGTACAATACAACAATTTAGAGGATCCATAGAGTATTAAAATGAAATGAAAGGTGAAGCTTTGATGCCCAAAAGCAAGAAAAATAGGGTGATCAGGATCAACAAAATAATTAGTCTACTATTCATTAACAGTTCATAAATTAGGTTCTAATCTGTTCCCCATTTATCACTATCACCATATAGTATATTAACAAACTATCAGTGCTTTTGTACTATTTTAATTCCTTGTTGTAATCTCTTACATTGGCCTCTCTTGGTCTTTGATGAACATTTAATAAGACAAGTTATTTTTGTCTCATTTTTATTTATCTATTACTTACAAGTCCACATGATCATTAAAACTATGAAAATACTTTTTGTATTATACAATAAAAGTTCTTGCATAATTCTCTTATTTTATTAATTTTTCAAGTACATTATTTACAATGATTAATTATCAAAAGTAAATGGCAAAGGGGAATAACTCCTCTCAGTAGAATGCAAATTAATTGAGCCCTGGCTAGGACCAGAACACTTGACCAAATGGTCCAGATGTTCAAAAATCTGGTAAAAATACCCTTCCTTATTACAACTTTTACACTTTTTGCCTCTGATATGCCCAAGTGCAGAGAAAATTTTTAAAGAAATAATGCATTTTCACTACAGATTCACTATATTATCAATAGAGCCCCCCCCCCCCCCTCCCTTCACCACCGAGAAACACCAGAGCCTCTCACCCTGGGACCAGAAGTTTCAAGTTTGCTCATCATAAGTAATCACTTTGTTTAACTGCTTAACATTAAGGAGCTGACAGGATTATTTAATAGAATTAATGCATTTTCACTACATTATCAACAGCCCCACCCTTATACCAGCACATCTGACCCAGGGGTCATGCAATTCACTGCTCTGGAAGAAGCACTCTTGCTCATCATAACTATATACTTAGCTTCTTTGCTTTTTAACCAGAAGCAGAAAAGAATATTTTCAAAGAAATTTTGATTTTTCACTATATAATCAATAGAGCCCCCCTCCCACCTTTTGACCAGAACCCTTGACCCTGGGGCCATGAAATTCACAATTTTAGAAGAGGCATCCTTGCATATCATAACAATGTACTTAGTTTGTTAAAATAGTACCCAGGGGCAGAGAAGAAGATTTTCAAAGAAATAATTCACCTTCACTGTAGGAGCTTTATAGCCCCACCCTAGTACAAGAACCCCTGTCCCTGGGGCCATGAATTTCACAATTTTGGAAGAGGTGTCCTTGCTTATGATAACAATGTACTTAGTTTGTTTAAATAATACCCAGAAGCAGAGAAAAAGATTTTTAAAGCATTAATCCTTTTTCACTAGATGTAATAAACAGAGCCCTGCCCTAACATCAGAACCCCTGACCCAGGGGCCATGAAATTCACAATTTTGGTAGAGTTACTCTTGCTTATCATAACTATGTATTTAATTTGTTTAAGTAATACCCAGGAGTAGAGGAGAAGATTTTCAAAGAAATAATGCACTTTCACTATATGATCTATATATCCCCCCCCCCCAGCACCAGAACCCCTTACCCTAGGGCTATGAATTTCACAATTTTGGTAGAGTCACTCTTGCTTATCATAACTATGTATTTAATTTGTTTCAATAATACCAAGGAGTAGAGAAGAAGATTTTTAAAGCATTAATGCATTTTCACTATGTAATAAACAGAGCCCTGCCCTAACATCAGAACCCCTGACCCAGGGGCCATGAAATTCACAATTTTGGTAGAGTTACTCTTGCTTATCATAACTATGTATTTAATTTGTTTAAGTAATACCCAGGAGTAGAGAAGAAGATTTTCAAAGAAATAATGCACTTTCACTATATGATCTATATAGCCCCCCCCCCCCCAGCACCAGAACCCCTGACCCTGGGGCTATGAATTTCACAATTTTGGTAGAGTCACTCTTGCTTATCATAACTATGTATTTAATTTGTTTCAATAATACCAAGGAGTAGAGAAGAAGATTTTTAAAGAAATAATGCACTTTCACTATATGATCTATATACCCCCCCCCCCCCCAGCACCAGAACCCCTGACCCTGGGGCCTTGAATTTCACAATTTTGGTAGAGTCACCCTTGCTGATCATAACTCTGTATCTAATTTGTTTAAATAATACCCAGGAGTAGAGAAGAAGATTTTCAAAGAAATAATGCACTTTCACTATACGATCTATATAGCCCCACCCTAGCACCAGAACCCCTGACCCTGGGGCCATGAATTTCACAATTTTG